ACTTTAAAATGTTTTAAATTTTTTAAGTTGACATGTACTGAATAAGTTAGATCTATTCTAAACATTGGTACATTATGATTGCAACATTAATTCCAATCAGAATTTATAATAGTATTCGTGATACTCTACTCTACTGTACTTCTAATGATATGTGAAATTATAAATAATAAAAAACATTAAGTAGTTATAACATACTAGACCATTAAAACAATAATAATTCCCATGACTAACATTTATACTACCACTCAATTCTGATTGAAAATTTGTGTACCAATGTACTTTTTATAGATTTGTTTCTTAAATATTATTATACAAGTATTCTAATTGATTGAATTTAATTTGTATTAATTGTGTTAATTTAATTTTATTTTATATTTATATAAATATCCATTTTATTCACTGTGAAAATAATTCCGGGTTCGGGTAATAGCGTAAACATGGGATACGAAATACTAGTGAAATACGTTTACTAAATACTGTATAATAATATAGCAAATGATAAAACATTGATTTAATTGTTTTGTTTATTTAATAAGTTGCTGCTAATTAACTATTAATGACATTGAACTGGTAGCAAAAGTACTTTTACCAGTTAGTTTTGTTTATTAATTAGCAATATTAAGTTATTATTATAGTCAATATTAATGAAAATTTGAAGGTATAAGAGATCTGATTATATGAACTCAATTCGAGACAATAAACACAATTATTTACCATGATGTTTATTCTTTAATTATTGATTAAATTTAGTGACAAATGAGCAAAATATTTGTTTTAGAGTTATTATGACTATCAGTCAAATTATATATGTTTACGTGAAATATAGTGAAATTGAAAAAATGTTACTAAAAAATGATGTAAATAATGAATTTAAGTATTAGTCTGATTGTGGTGATTATCGTGACTTCACCGCAATATACGAATTGTCTATTTTTCTACCCATTCTTCCGGAGGGGAGGGGGTCGTCTCCGACAGCCCCGACAAAACCTGGCCCGAGGTGTCCGGGAAGCTATTTTTGCTGTCAATGCCTTTTGCGGTAAGAATTGAGTGACAATAATGTTACCATGTTAAATGAAAAATATAATTAATTATAAGTTATAAGTTATGAAACATTTGTGGTGTTCACACAAGAATTGTTTGATTGAAATGCATTTATATGGTGTGAATAGATGACAATTGTGCCACTGATGACCAACAGGCACAGGTAGTGAATTGCATCCAAAACGGCATTAATACGAACCAACAGATCGTGAATATCCTGCGGGGCTGTACGCCCGGCGGCAACATCTCATGCAATCGCGGCCAAAGGGGTCAAATGAATCGGTGTCTCATCGGGCGAACCATTGGGCGCCGGAATCTCATGAATCGCCGCCTTCAGAGGTGTTTCCGCAATTCTGTCTCATTGGCCACAATTGACTGTCTGGTCAATAGGTATCGCATTTTACGCAATTTACTGCCTATCCCTCCCGGGCCTGCCGGTCCTGTTCAGTCTGGAGGGGGAGGAGGAGGGGCGGCCAGGGCGCCGGCCTTTAAGGCACCCAAACCTACAACACCTTCTAAATCGTCGAAAAAGACACAAAAATCATCAAAAAGGGGTTAAATATTATGTTATATGTATATAATCTGTTTGTTTGTTTGTGTATATATTTAATATAATTTTAAAATATGAACTTATTTATTGAAAATTCCCTTTATTTAATGTTTTGTGTAATTAAGTTATGAGATATTTGTGAAATATATAGTTTGTGTGAATTCTAGTGTCTGTTTACTCATATCATTGATGAATGGCATTGAAATAAGTTTAAATTTTTTGAGTGAAAACTAAAATTCTCCAAAAATAGATTCCATAAGACTTTAGATAAGGTATTTAAACTGAATCATTTTTAATGGACTAATATATTAGACAAAAAAGTACTAAATTGTACATCCTAGGAGCAATTTCTACTGCAATATGAGAAAAAATATGATGGCAACACACGGTTAGTCCATTCCTTAGAAGTTTGCACTAAAGCTAATACAGGATTAGGGAATAGATTGCATTATGGATGAAAAATTACGATAAATACTGTGGTTTTACTTG